AATGACAATTCAAGACAGGGTTTAAAACGCATCGAAAAAACAGCAACCAGAAGGTATTACAAAACTAGTGACATTCGATTAGCACCTGGAGTCGCATTCGAGGAGCAGTTTAGAATAGTCAGCACATGGCCATGACCAGTCACATTCTATCAGGAAGTTGATAATACAGGTTGAATATCCCTAATCCAAAATACTTGGGACCAAGAATGTTTCGGATTTTGGAATACATGATATGGAGGAGTAGAAGAGAACTGAAAAAATTCAGCGAATCGATGAAGAAGCTCATAATGGGTCACAAAATTTCGAAATATAAACTATTTAATACGTTTTCTCACCTAAATTCTCCACCTGAACACAAAACAATGAATCTACTTCTTTCGAATAAAAATATTTATGGTCCCAAACAGTGAGTTCCTATCTAAATAGACTGCCTGCTGTGAGAGGGAAGCTATGGATGTTCCAGAAGGAGGCGTAGCAACTACTTACAAATTACAAGAAACAGAAACTCAGTTATTCCACAAATTAAAACGACCCAGGGTTTCGTTGCAGTACAAAATCATCAGGCGCATAAAGTCATTTCCATACAGATTATATAGGCTGAAAGGGAGAGAGTTTAAGAAAGCGGAAGGAAAAGGGGGCGGAAGTTAGGAGTTAATGGGTTGTTTCCATGATAAAATTCAAGCATGAAAATAGAATGTTTAACGTGCTCTCCATTTTGGCCTTGCAGACAAAATGAGTAGAGACCAAATGTGCTCAAGAATGGAGCAAAGAGAACCTCTGAAAACGTTTGACTGCCCGGCATTCCTTAGGGACAGAGGGAGGCTCTTTTCTGATTGGCTGGATATCAGAAGATACGACTGTCGATGGAACATTGAGGGGAAGAGAGACGGAAAGGGTGTTATAGCCACTGTTCATGATATCCAAAGATATTAAAAAAAACAGGACTGAGAAACGAAATAGAACAATGTTACGGATTTCGCAATATTTGAAGACTGGAGATACTCAATTGGTAACGTGTTATCAAGATTTGGATGCACTACACGTGTCCTTCGAAGAAAAACCGTCTATTAAACTCAAGAAAATTTAGCAACGATCCGAGTCCAGACTATGTTAGATTGAATACTTTTCCATAATGAAGAGTGAGATAGCCCATTCTCCGCAGGTGCCGAGATAACCAAAGAAGGTCTGCCCCAAACAAAATTTTTTTAACCAATAAGCCAGGTTGAGAAACCGACCGTTCTTTCTTAGACAGTACCGGGTGTTTACAATGTTGATACACTTTCCGGTGTTCTATCAGTATCTACAAAGAACTCTTAAACGGGCAACGGAATGGTGCTGTATCAGTACAGTGTCTTGTCAAAATGAAAGAACGCTTAAGGGGCAAACGACATGGAAATTACCTTCGAGCGAATGACCCAGATGAAACCACGCATCGACTGGCATCAGCACACTTTGTTCAAGGGATTGTTCTAATGTTCCTCGCAACTTTCCATCTTAAATGAACCCAAAACCTATGCGTCTCGACATGGTCCGGAATAATGACATCCAGGAGAGCCTTGGTGTACAGCCTCTGCTTGTCCAGACCGAGAAGTCACAGCTGCAATGGCTTGGACATGTGTTGCGAATGCTTCCAAAAAAGAAGGCTAAACAACTGTTTCCTGCCAAACCGACGGCCAAGATTAACCTGGTGCAAATATATGGAAGGAGTCTGTACCAGACTCCAGCTGTCTTCTGCTGTATCTCAGACTCTGGCATAGGATCGGGCATGTTGGAAGCACTGTCTGACACGTTTGCCTCCGCGACCCAAAAGGAGAAGCGGCCATCGAAAATGAATGACTGAAGATGAATGAACCTAAAATTGCGTCATCGCCCCTCTTTTACGAGGCTGACGCAAACTAACCTTAAATTAAGACTGACTAATTATAATAGACCCCACTCGACATGTTGCAGACCCTATTCATCTGCATACGCCTAGGAACCATTTAAACAGGTCACGGTTCAGCGGTATTTTAGAACCTTCGGTGAATCGACGTATCTCGCATAATTCGTGTTTTTCAGATTACTACGCTGCACGTTATCAAAGCCGGGAATCAGCATTCCATAGAGATCCAACAACAATAGAACATTGGTTCACAAATTCGTAAAGCATATACAGAGTACCGATTCAAGAAACATCGTTGTAGACGATCATCGGATTGAAGTGGTCAACAAGAACAATGAGAGATGAATCAAGCACTGCAGACAAAAATACGATGAATCCATGGCGGGCCTAAATTTCCCTTCGACCTCTACGGAAAAGGGATAAAACGGCAATGAAGTGTGGACCGACTGTGCAGAAATATGAATACCAATTAGACTGTTAACTAATTCTGCAAATGCCACAACGCAAGAAAGAAATAACAGGTTCTTTTCCTCGGACTAAATCCAGTGAAGGAAAGGCCATAATTACGACATTTCATGCATTTCATTCGACCATACGAGGGCAAGATAGAAGATTCATGAAATTTTCTCAACGTCCCTGCCAAACCCTATAAATCACTGATATTAACGACCCAACATCTGAACCTAATTTACTCATGTTTCTCCGCTTAGAGAGCGGTAGAGAACCAGAACGTCAAACATTGACTGCATAAGTTCATAGACAACGACATGGTTCGTTACCAAACTTGAACAACTTCAACGTTGTTATCGACGTAAATAATGAAGTGTCGAAAACTAAAAGTTCTGCCCATTGGAATATTGCAAATTACCCCTGAATCAGTAAACATCTACAACAAGCAGCAACTGGCTCAACATGAAGAATTTAAAAGTTTATTTCTCACATATTTGTTAGATGTAAATCTTCATGAAGTCACGTCTTATGTCCGTCAACACACTAGAAAACCCGCGATTCAATATTACCGTACGTGTTACTACAACGCATGCAACATCCAATCAGTCGCTGTTAAGGTACAGGAAATCTCATCGAGAGTAAAAACGGCTCAGTTAACGGAATAAACAACATTTTTTGAAAACCGAACTAAATCTACAAGTCAGTTTTCGGAAAGAATTCATCTCATACTAGCAACTGCGATGCCTCACCCTGACAACCTAGTTGAGGCAAATTTCTGTTCTCTTACTTTAACCCAAACGAGTTGCGATGGTGAATTAAAAAATTTCCAAGGGCGCCGCTGATCGAGCTCATGAATTAAAGCATCCTCACACAGCCAACAAACGTATGATAATTTGGTGCTCACCGGCACTATGCGTTTTATTAACGGCCGTCATGCTCCATTCGCTGTCTGCATTGCCGACAACGAGTTTCACTGAAAATTCATACTGCGTGTCCGGCTTGAGGCCTTCGACAGTATAGCTGGCTTCCGTGCAGTTGACGTAGCGGTAATGGCCATTCATGCCGTAATGACTCGTATACCTTATGGTGTAATGACCATTATCTGAATTCAGTCGCGACATCATGTTGTTCAGCCTTAACCGCAAAACCAAGCATCGATTAAAATTTAACGGCAACAGAAATAAGCGAAAGCAGTTGTACTGAGAGCCATCCGACCACGTCAGGAAGATGGCCGTAGACGAGATGACGGATGTACGCAGGCCGATCGGTGTTTCGATGACGCGGGTGGGGCCGGTGGTAACCGCCGATGTGGTGCGCACGGTTTCGTAGATCGGAAATCCATTACCCATCTTGTTATATGCCTTCAGACTTATGACATAGCTGAAAAAAGCGAAGAATCGAATACAATATAAGGCATTGTCACAACGCGTCAGTGTTGTAAAACGTTACTCTTTATTAGGCTTCAAATTTGTAATCGTGTAAAACCGTTCAGAGCCAGAAACGCGTTTCACTTGGATGTCCGGCACGTTGATGCCCCAACCGATCAGGAAACCGCGAATCAAAATGCCTTCGTCTAACGGAGGCGTCCACGAAAGCAAGATTTCAGTCGCTTTCGCTTGAACACGAAGCGACGTGGGAGCGCCCGGAACTTGCGTTTCTAGAATCGGTTGCATCAGTGCTTTCGAAACTACTCTTTAGCTTGCACCATAACTTACCTTCAACGCCAGTAACGCTTGATGCCATATGCACCCAAGGTGAATACGGTCCGCTGCCGTTCACCGTTGCTGCTGCCACCTTGAACACGTACGACAAACTTGGGTCTAACTCTAAACATGAACTACATGAAAAATTGAGAACGGTTTGTAAGAGAAAACGTGAACGGCCGATGGATTTTAAATAAGTACTAGATCGATGATTGATTAGCACTCAACAGCGCTGCATAGGAAAAGACCATCAAAATTAGCGTTAGTAAACGTAATCTTTGCAACACCAAACAAACGTAGATTCCTATACTGCTACCGAATACGTAACCCTGGACATTCTCTTTCATTTCCGCACAACGGACTAGAAGCAGTAATCGAAGTACAAAAAAGCATAAGTATTTTGCATTCCGTGCGTATGTATTTTCGCTACAGTAGCTATGAGGTTTCTTCGTGAAACCCTCAACCCCTAATGGTTGAAAAGTTCTCACAAAGCCTTGAACGGAATGATGCACAACTCACAGCATCTAAGGTTCCCATCGTGATGGGTACATACAATTCAAAGTTCGAATACACGTCGAACATCTTGGTCAGCGCAGATATGCATCTTACTCAGCTTCACTGCACTACACAAATGCAAATCTATATGGCAAAGATATGAAAAAACGCTAACTCAAGTTATTTCTCGAACTGATCGACGGTAAGTAAAGCGTTTCCACATTCTTCAGAGAATTTGCCTCGTTGAGTAGAGTAGCTACGGTGAAACAATTTGTTAACCGACTGGACAGTATATAATCTTTGTGAAAACGGCTCATAATGGAGTATTTTAATCGTAATTTAATAACTACACTGAAACAACACATGCCTAGGTTAATTCAAACCAACGTCAACAAGCGGTGTAACGGACAACAGATAACTATCAACGTCATGAAGTATGGTTTACGCTTGGCTACAGCTACTGGAGACAACGATATGAACAACCGCTAAAAAACCGCGATCATTTTTATCCCAGAAAGATACTTGAGACAGAACGAAACGTTCGCAGTGGTTTGACATATGATAGACCGGCTGCATGCATTGCGTTTAATTAGACCGTGTTCATTCCCTTTCGCTTGTCTGGTCTGGCATTTTCTACTAGTATTACTAGTCATTTAAACTTGTCATGCACTAAACTTTATGGGTATAATGGGCTTGTTTCCAAGATTACGATTCGTTCTTCATTTTTCAACATAAGTTTGACAGGTTTCATTTATTTTACCAAATTAAAATATGCTTGAAAAGCATGCCGAAACCTAACCGAGAAAGAATAAAACCTTTCAAGAAGTATTGCATGCGTCTGAATGACAATGCGAGATGAAACTATGCAACATTGGAATTAAAATATCATGAACCGGTGTAAGTCTGAATAATCTCTAAGTACTTAAGAGCAAAATGCAATGTCATAACACAGCGAGACCCGGTTTAACTGCGTCATACGCTCAGTGACATTCCTTGCGTATGAACCCATATTTTTTATTTGTGAAAGTGTGCAAGAAGTTTCGGCTACTGAAATATCACTGCGATAACTGAATATTGTTTTAGCAATTAAAATGGCGAAATATGCATTTACATGTCACTGTCCAGAATGCAACCCGTTCATACCTAGATAGATTAAATCAATTCGCAGTTCATTATAT